AGGACAGGGTAATAGAAATAGGATGAAATTTAATGAGATAATGATATCCAGTTCATCCTGTACAATTCTGGCTGGACAATGACTCCTAAGTTTGTGTCATTAATCAATTTAACCAGCATACGCTTGCTTTTTACTAACAATGCTGGCATAAATAACAGCAAATACGACTGGTCCTAAGATAATAATCCAGGAAGAATTTCACTATTGCAATCTCTTCGCCCTCTAGACCTCTCAGCCTAGTATTTATCTCCCTTTTAATCATTTCTTTACCCATCTTACTATTCCTCTATTTTTTGTCATTTTCCCCAGGTAACTAGAAACGTTTCCTGCTGTACTATTACAAATCACATGCTCTACTGAAGTCCAAACATGATATCTTTCACATTTTATCTACAATATTCAGTTGTTGAAGAAAGCATAAGGTGCAATGGTCCTTCATTAAAACTTGGCTACATTTATTTCACTTAGCATTTACCTCCATGTCTAATTATATCTTCCCAAAATTTCCTCTGGTGTCTTGCATGTGAATCAAATTATCCTCACAATTAAATACTAATAATACACTTGGTATTCTGCAATCATATAGCACTATTCTTGACTTGTTAGGTTTAAAAAAGAAAAACATGTTAATATGGTTCATACAACTGTACATCTGTACTTTTTCAGAGTTTGATGATGGAAGATACAGCTCCCTCTGACTTGAGCGTGTGAATTTTGCTCTGTCTCAACTGACATCACTGTCCTCACTGAAAACAGAGAGGAGGATTACTTTACAAATATAAGGAAGGCCACAGAAAACCTGCGGCCTTTTCTTCACCACACCACATTTGTTTCCTTTCCTCTTCCTTCTTTCACGTGGGAGAACCACTTTTGATACTTTATTTGTAAATTCTGCTTTAGCTTAGGATCCTATCTACACTTGCTGACATCTAAGTCTACAGTTCCTTTATCTACAACGCACACAAGGTAGAGTCATGTTGCATTCACAGCTTTTAGCTGAACCGTGAGGACTAGGGTTCCCCTTATATCAAAACATTTCGAACAACAGATCTTGAGATAGCCTTTTTAAAAAAAAAAAAAAAAAAGAGAGAGAGAAGATGTAGCACAGCTTAACATCAGTGGGCGCTTTACCCTTGCCTTCAGTGGAACCATGACCTTATTCAATCCATTTGCATGTAACCTAGTCACCAAGACACCTCAGTGTGGGGACACTGAAACAGAACTCTAGCCACAAAAGCATTAAATCCCCTTTGACTCATAAAGGTTGAGAAGCACATCAAATAAGAGTTACAGGTATTATTTTTTGCACCTCAGTTTACAAGACGCTATTTTTCTGCTTGGTCAAAAAACATAATATCAAAGGAAACAGGCAGAAGAAGGGAAGAGGAAGTACAAATAACAACAACAATAAAAAAGCACAGCCCAAGAATACTGGTGGTACTTACGGAAACAATGTGAAAGATACTGATCAGCAAATATTGCCTTCCTTGTTCAAGCTAGACTGTCAAGATTAAATCTCTCCCCAGACCAAAATCCAGGGTCAATGTGGGTATTAAACCTTGAAAAATTCTCGCCTAGAGAAGAAAAGGGGAGCTCAGAGGACAGAAACATCTTTCAGCAGATCTCCAGCAGTAACTGAAGGTGTCCTACAGCAGTGGAGTTTACTTCTTCCCACTTTGCGCTGAAGATACACAAGGACAGATTTAAAAGGATAAAGGCCTGTAATAATTAACTGTTGCTTCCGCTTCGTGTATCAATTCCTTCTTTAGGAATATGATTGTTTTGAAGAATAGTCTTGATTTATTTTAACTAAATGCCACTTGTACGAGCTTTTACAAGACTTGGGATGAATTCTGAAGAAAGCTTTGTCCAGGTGGAAAACCATACGTAAGGAGAATATGCCATCAGCAACTGGGTTTTTCTTATTATTTTCATACAGGTAACAATCAATACTTGGACACTTACAGGATAAGGTGAAATCCTCAGTAGAGGATCTTTCATTTCTCGTTTGCAGACTGGAGAGAGAGACCTGCCTAGAGCGGCTGTTTGACTGATCTCAAGTTCACAGAGATGCACGTAAATCTCTGTGATCCATCTGTTGCTGGATGCATATTTTGTAATTGGCAGCCTTTCCATAGGGGAAGAAACATATTACTCAGCCTTGCCCGATCACATAAAATATCATGCAAAAAAATATTTTGCATAGGAGATAAATTTGCAAATTGGCACATATGCACTGAGCCTGAGAAAAATCAACGTGCATTCTTTAAAGTCCTGTTTCTCTTCTGAATTTCCAGCTTGCTAGTAAGGCATCCACAAAGGTCAACTTGGACAGAAATGGAGGGTCAAAGGGAACTCCTTCGCAGATTTTCATTGCACCCTTTCACTACTTCAGAGAGGAAAGGTAAGTGGTGAGCAAGACCGCGTGTCCCTGGAGCACACTCTCTGGAGCACACACCTCAACAAGCTGAAGTTTTCATGCGCCACATAATTAGAAAAGAATACACCAGTTCTCAGTGTTACGTGCAGTTTGGCCTTCAGCCGCAAGCTGAAGTTGGAGGACCTTGGGGACCTGTTCTGGTGAAGGTATATTCTGAATAACAGCTCAAGGTGCCCTCAGGAATCTGAATCTTTGAACTGGAACTGAAACACACAAAGTTAAATGTCCTTCCTGCTGCAGGTCCTGGACAGACCTCCCTGCTTTGATTCGGAAATAGTGCCATGGCATCTTTTACTTCTACTTGTTTGAGATGAACCGAGTATCCTGCTTTGCCATTTGGACCCTGCAGTCCTTGAACTCATTGTCCCCCTGTATCATGTAATTTCTCACTTGTACACATATCTGCTCCACGTTATCCAATTCAGTAAACCTAACTTTAGGCTTAACCCTGAATGCCAAAAGGAATCCTGAAACAGAAACTACATGCCTTATGTAACTAATGAACTAAAAGTTAAGTTTATTGCACCTTGATAAGAGGTTCTCTCTCCAGAAGAAAAACACCATTTTCCTCTAGTAGAATAGAAAAGGAAAGGGTCAATGCTCTGCTGATAAAAGCTGTGGCAGGCAGCCAGTTTTCTCTTCTCTCGTACTCAGACTGCAGTAACGCCTAATGGTTTAGTTGCCTCATGCATAGCCTCATTCTTCATCTAATGCGTGAAGTCTAATACCAAGGTCTAATACCATAAGCACAGGTTTCCACTGAGCAATGAGTGGTACATGCAGGTGATCTAGTCTGAATGAGAACAACAGTAGTAATAAGTAGGAGGGAAGAGGAATACAGATGAAAAAAGAACAGCTTCAACAGCAACGGTTGCTCAGTATTTACCCAGAAATCCCATTAAAAGTACTCTTTCTTGTTTTTCACTTGACTTGTTTCAAAATTAATCAATTCCGATAAGAAATATGACTGCTAAAATCATGCAATCATTCAAATATTCTGTGAGGGGGTGCGATTTAACTAATTCCCGGTATTCTCTTACTCAAAGGGTTTTTGAACATAGTAAAATTCTGTGAGGAGAAACTTTGCTTCTTTCGGTATAGTCCTTTTGAGAGTGGTGGACAGTATCACCTAAGGGATTTCACATCAAGAAAGGATCGCTCTCCTGAACTAAAACAATTTCGAGTTCGAGAAGTCATGCATGTGCTGAGCGCTATCAACACCCTTGCAGTTCTCCATCAGCAGGAGTACAGAGCTGAATCACAAAGACATGAAACTCTACGTATAAATCAACTAGGGAGACAGCAAAGATGATACAGCTGGATCCTCCCTGAAGAGTTTTCTAAAAAGTGGGGAGCAAAGTGCATATTAAAATGTGACAGTGATAAAAATGTGCTTTTGCTATGTCCAAGAAAGTAGAAGAAGATCTGATACTTAAAAACGTTCTATACATGCTATATTGACTCCTTTCACTTGTGTTATATCTGTGAAATGAAATCTGGATGGAACTGCAGCTGACTGCATAAAAAAAAAGTTGATGATCATACTTTTTTTTTGTAGTCTTTTATGCACACATAAACAAATATCTAAGACAGAAACTGAATTCAAAATCTGAACATTCTTCTTTTGCATAAAAAAACACTTTGCCTTATTTATCCTAACTCACCTTAGCAATGATGAGCTTCCAAATCAGTTAAATACAGACCTCCCAGCCCTGCAGTAACCTTCACAGATAAATCGGACAAGATATACTGTTTTTTGTTTTTTTTTAAACTCTACTGGCAGACCTCTCTATCTGGAATACCTGAAGTATAAAACGTTTTTCCTATATTTGTCCTTTCATTTTGGCCAGCTCTGTAGACACGTAAACATCATTTTTCCTCAGCAGATATAGCAACTTGTGCCTTTGCCTTTACAAATAAACTTGCTTTAAAAAGAGAGAACTCCAAGGGACCACCACACAATCAACATATACATACATACACACACATATACACACAAAATTTTTAAGTTTCTTCTCTTACATGTCTTTGAAAGAAAATCACCAGGAAATAAGCCCACAAGTTTCTATAGTACCTGGGGCATAGCATCAAGAGGAAAATTCTTACATTTTTAAAATAAGACTTTGATTATTGACTTTGCAGCCAATGCAGCAAATTCCTTAGCATGTCATTTGGCTTAAAATAAATAGTATATTATGATGAAACCCATTTTGTGCCAGATTATGTAACAGAAAAGGCATGCAAGTTTAATCAACTATTACTTAGCATATTTCCCACTCGGAGTCAACATTTATAATAGTCACACATTCCTCAACCCTTTAAACGATCTAAGATTATTACTAAGTGCTCCAGGCGTAGGTGCACTCTAAATTATACTGCAGCAATGTTTGCACTGAATTTCTCCCAATCTTACAGCACAAGTGAAGCTACCGGAAACAGTCTGCAGCACTGTTGCAGCTGATTGTAGTACCTGCAGTAGTACTTTTAATATCAGCGTTTTAAAAAATTTAAAGACATATGCCCCCAATCCCACCTAAACAAACCTAACCGAGCTACTCACCGTTCACGGCTGTGGGAAACTGAGCCATCATGGTCCTGAATATGCCTTGCTAGCTCTTAGCCATCTGCAACATAAAAACATCGTGCCATTAATAATGCAACAAGGGCAAAACGCAGCTCAGCCCTCCCGCTGAGCGGGGGGAATGTCTGTGTCCCCTTCAGCTCACGCTTCCGATAGCAAACAATGCAGGGCTTCAGGCTGCTGCTGAACAAGCTGAATTTACATTTGGAAGGGGCGGTGGCTTCTTTTTTTTTTTTCTCTTAAATGGGGTGTGCAGTGCGATCTTGAACCTAACGGCACATTCTTAAAGAAAAACAGGACCAACAGCTTAGCAGCTACTGCATAATGTACACAAACAGCCGACAGCGTGCCTGAACATATGGTGTAGGGAACAATCCTCACCCGGCAAGTAGATGTCCGAACGGATCTTTTTTAGCTCTCCCTGGTAAATATTCACATATAGCATAAAATTTTTTCAGTGTGCAGCTCTGTAATTGAATGTTTCTGCTTAGAAAAGTGGAAGAACACCTACTATTCAAATTCAAGCAGTCAGCTACTCCAGGCAGAATTTACAAAGAAAATATTATTGCATCATATGCTCTGAAAAAATGACTCGTTTCACAAAAATTTGTAATCCTTTTTCCATGACTAACACAATGAAGTTACTCCTTTTTTTTGAGCTACTGCATGAAGACTCTAAAGCAGCACTTAAACAGTTCTCAATATAACTTACTTTCATAATAAGAAACGTTAAGAGTACTAACACTTATTTTACTTTTCTAGTGAGTATCATTTCAAAACTCTTCTCCGTGGTGCCCAGCGACAGGACAAGAGGCAACGGGCACAAACTGAAACACAGGAAGTTCCGTCTGAACAGGAGAAAAAACTTCTTTCCTGTGAGGGTGACCGAGCCCTGGCACAGGCTGCCCAGGGAGCTGGTGGAGTCTCCTTCCCTGGAGACAGTCAAAACCCGCCTGGACGCAATCCTAGGCGATGCGCTCTCGAGGACCCTGCCTGAGCAGGGGGGTTGCACTAGATGATCTCCAGAGCTCCCTTCCAACCTTGGCCATTCTGTGATTCTGTGACTACCTGTAGATGTTATTAATTCTTTACAACTGCAAAATACTAACAAATGCTTAAAACATACCTGAGGGATTAAGTACAAGCACTGTTTTACAAATGCAGAACCAGGACAAGAGACAGTCTTTGCTTTGGATAAAATAATTTTAGTTAAATAGGGAAATTTATACATAATTATCCTCCACTCTAAACAGAGAAACTACGGTTCAGGATGAAGCGACAAAAATTAATTTTTATTGCATTTTTATTCAAAATAAAAAAATAGAATAGAAGGGGGAAGAAAACCTACTCAAAACTTACTGCCAACTACCACCAGTGGCTTTGCCATGCACCTGCTCGCTGTTGCGTTTCTCACATTCTAGTATCCATATGACATTTCAGATCCCTCTGCTACTCCCCCTTCAGATATCTAACCTCCTCCCCTCACCAAAAAAATACATATAAAATCACGCCTCTCAGTACAATCTCTGATCGTAACATTAAGCAAAGAAATATCAACACCCCCCCCACAACTTATGCATGCCTAATCACAAAAATGCATCTTCTTAGGGAAAGCATCCCAGTATCTTACTTATGGACAGGAAAGCATTTTTCATCTTTAATATGTACTTATGCAATAAAAATAAAAATGTCAGGGATCAGTTGCTAACAATCCTCTTTTTCCCACGTCCTATAAATAATAACTAAAATCATGCACCTTAATGGGGTATAAGCCATTGATTTTTAATCAAATCATTCATAAACATCAGAGTCACATGCACACTTCGTCCTCCCCAAACGAACGAAGAACAGTATTTTATCTGACGTTAACTTGCTCTGTGTTGCTTACGTAACTGCCCGGTGAGGAAAGAACATAATATATATATTCTATCTGACACATTATACAGCAGTATAACAAGATACTTGAAATTCCTTTTTTATATATATGTGTGTGTATATATATATACACACACACACACACATACATAAATGGAAACTATTGGAGAGTCCAACTGAACTGGATGACAGGGATCAGCTGCAGAAAAAAGGGAAAAAGGAAGCATGACACCTACTCCGAGAGAAAAATCCTAAAACAAATTAGCTATTCTAAAACAAATGGCTATTTTTAGATCACTTCCCAGGCCTTACCAGCAACCTATCATGAGACATTTTCAATCTATAAATAGCTTTCCAGACAAATACTTCCAATGTTATTAAGCATTTCTATAGCACGTTTCCCTGCAAAAGCTGTTAAGGAAGGCTAAAGGAGACTCGTGAAACTAAACTACAGAAATAGGATGTTGAAGAACATCCCCAGAACCAAGAGAGCAAAACTCAGCAGCACTCAATATTGACAGAAATTTCCACCTGTGCATGTCTTGCTGCAGATTTACAGACTAACTGCTAAAGCCTACGCATTTCATTTTTCCTCCAACATACTTTATTTTTTTGCAGATTACTTCTTCAGTTTTTAAATTAGGCATTGCAACAAACAAACCCCAAATCTTACTATACATATTTTAAAATACTTTATATAACTTCAGGCTATAGAGAAAGTCACGCTTTGCCTTCTCTGGTTGTGCTGAAGCACACAAACAGCTCTGACAGACTGAGCTTTCTAAACTCTCAACTGCTGACCACGTAGGTGGGAGAAGTAACCCATTTTACACTTATGCACAAGGGTAAATCCTCCCCCCCGCCCCCATTTTCATATCTCTATAGAGTCTCAACTACACTGTATTTTAAAATCAATTTCAGTTGTACAATTCTGTGGTCAAAGTCCTCATGTATTAGCCTGATGGAGATCTTCTTGATTTACGAAATCTCTGTATCTAAGGAACATGGATGGTCCTGACTCATTTCCACCAGTCACTGTAATTCCAGTCCACCGTCACAGGTAACTCCATACACAGGTGATCACTATTCACCATTCTATAGGATAACAGAAATTACACAGGTCGCTTCAAGCAGAATTAGAAACAGTACTCAGACATTTAACATAGTGTGAGTGAGTTATCTGTCCCCTCAAAAGAAGCATTCTAAGATCCCCGTATCCCAAGCCCGGCCTCACGCAGCCCGAGATGTCCATATTGTGCACGGCCATGCAGATGCACCACCTCTGATCTGAAAACAAGAGGGACTTGCCCAAAAGATCCTTAATAAAAGTACATTACTCCAACATTGTTTGATTAAATCATGATTTAGCCGTGTCCCCACACCATAGGCAAATCCTGCAGTATTTTTAAAATATTAGACCTTATGGGCACCAAAATCCTTCTTTAATGACCCCCACAAATAATGCAAAATAAGAACCTTATCAATGCAACCAGGAATCAAACTGGATTTCTGCAGGACTGCAAACTCTGCCAGCATTTGGGACTTCATCTTATCTCTGTGGACAAACCCATTTCACTCTGACTACACAGTTACAACACACACACCTGCTTCTCTGGTGACATATTCAGAAGTGGAGCGACACATAAAAAAGGACAGATAAAATTATCTGCGCAACAGCACTTTGCTGCATAAAATTTTTTAGGCGAGGAGGGAAGGAGAAAACAGACAAGCAAACTCACAAGCTACACACCTTTCCTCAACACTCTGCAGACACAACTATTTTCAAAGAATAGAGTTTGTCCCCAACAAATATTGTTTTGCACAGCATGCCCTTAAGGTTTGGATAGCACGCATGTAATCACAGTTTAACAAAGTTTATTTTCACACATTTCAAATAAAATTGCATCAGTTACCATCTGTAAAAAACATCTTGCACCTTTAAGACGCACGCACGCACCATTTATTTACCAAGAGAAATCTCAGTAAAACGTTTCAGCTTTACGCCACATTTCTTTGTTTCAAAATGACTCTGACGACCTTTAATCATTAATCACAACGAAAGCCGTAAACGTCCAAATAACTTTATTATAACATACCACAGAGAAATTCGGTGCCACATGAAAAAAAAAAAAACGTTCACCGAAGGGGAAAAAAATCTCTCCTTAAGGAAGACTATAGTCAGTATCCCAAACAGCTCATATAGATAATGACCACTACAACTGGAGTATTCTACAGAAAAGATTTCTTTCTGCAAAACGTTCTAGACAAAGTGCTCGGTGAACTAATTTATGTTTCAGTCACGAGAATGAAATCTACCTTTTAACAAAACAGCAGCAAACATCCCCCTCCAGTGCACTCCGCAGACTACGTCTGCTAAGGACTAAGTCCTGCTGCCGCTTAGGTGTAAACAGGAAAACTTGGGCGTTATATTTAAATAGCGGAAATGCAAGTTCGTGTAAACAAATCATCTGACTAGTCCCAATGTTTCAAGCAGCAATCGTTTTCATGACCTGACCTGCCAAATTGCAATTTCTGCTCCCACTCCCAATATTCATTACAGCTGATACAAGTTGGAAAAAGAAACAAGGAGATTGCAAGAAGGAGGGAAAAAAGGTTCAGTTCCGTAAGAGACGTATGTCTGTATTTACCTTTCAAGAAGAACAGCCTTACCACAGCTTATTAAGTATTAAAATGTATACGTAATTCAACTTTAACAAAATATTTTTAAGAGCAACCACAGCCACATACTCCCAGTAGGAATGAAGGTCTGGTGCATCAGGGTCAGTCACACCAGCTTAACTCGAAACAGGCAGACAAATACCACAGGGATGGTATGTATGGACACACTACTTTTCTTCTGCCTTTCCCAAGGACAGAAGGAAGATATGTTGCACACTTCTGCACAACCAGCAGGAACAGAGATCTCAGTAAGAGCTGAATGGTTTACTTTTACAACACCTGTAAGACTGGGCAAGCCAAAGACAATTCATTAGGATTTGCAAAGCAAACAATGACAAGGTATTAGCCCAGGTAGCTCTTCTGTGCCTTTTTTTGATTGCTCTTTTGAAAAGAATAATACGCATTAGTAGGGCATTATGAAATAATATAGTTTATCCTTTCTCTTTCTTAAAG